TTCCACAGATCTCTGTTTTGCTGGTTGACCAGATTTTCCGATAAGCTTGTATTGTGTCCTGTGCTGTTTGTCATGTTTAGTCCATTTGTACCACAAAAGTCATCGTAGTCTGCACAGCAGTCTAAAAAGAATTCACAATCTTCATCACAAAAGCAAGTAAACTGTGTTTGGTATAAAACTGTACGAGGGTTTTGACATCTGTTTCTACATGAAARCTCTTTTTCACAGACCAGGGTGGTTTCTGGTGTCTGAGCTGTCCTTCTTTGCCGGTGAGATCGTACTTTTGTCATGTCCGATTTCTGTTGATTTTGTCGCGTTTTCTTTGCCCAAACGTCCATTTTTTCTGCAACAAACGTCTTCTCACTTGGACACTCTTCGTCTCTTAAATCTCTGATGACGGTGAGATCTGCTTGAACAAACTCTTCAGGATCGTGCAGTTTTTTTCTCCAATTCTTAYCACGATCTTGATTCTTAGGCTTTGACTCCAATGTCGTCTTTCTTAGCTTGTTGTTAGGATAGAAGGTTTTCGTTCCTTCATCGATTGAAGCATCAGTTTGATGCCTATGAAAAACGAATACCATAAGGAAGCCAGCTACGACAATTAGAAAGCTTTCCCGCATGTTAACTCTTGAAAGTATTAACGTTCTCTCTTTGTTTGCGTTTCCCAGAAGTATCTGAGACTATGAAACTTTGGAGAAAGTTGGTCCCTTTTATACAAAATTTTAAGCCATATTTCCTTTGGTTATCATAAGAAACTATAGTCTTGCTGTGAATCGACTTCGCGTGAGGTATTAAGCCGTAAACTTAAAATAACGCCTTTTAAAAAAATCCATGCTGAGTCTGACTTGTAAAGGGAAAATTTTTCTGGAAGTCCCGCAATGGCTAAAGTTAACAAACCCCACAAAGATGGGACACATCGACTATGAAAACCCATCTGAAGGATGCTTTCTTTATCCCCTACAAAGTCATAGATGCACTTATAAGAAAGTGCAAATTCACGATCTGGGAGGAAAAKAACCACAGCTAGGAATGGAACCTGCTGACCATGGTCACCAAACTTTTTTCAAAATCCAAAAATGCTAAAAATGCTCCAATTATTGCTAATGGTGTCAGTTTTGGTTTTGTGCAAGTCATGAATGCAYTATTTCGATGCAACATCTCTATTGTCACAATAGATTTATTATTTGATAGTAACATGTTTAATTTTCTATCCAAACTTAAGGTGTTTGCATATATTGACTCTTTTCTGTAAAACAGAAAAACTTAAATAAAAATGTCGCCCAAACGGAAACCTCTTCACTTGTTATCGTACTAATCTCCCACAAAGTTCCTTTTGTGTGTTTTTAATTTTTCGCTGTAAACAAATATATTATTATCTACATTGGTCCCCTCTACTCCCTTGAGTGTGGGTTTTTTTCTTTTTTCGATGTTGTTGTTGTTTTTTATTATCGCATATCTTGCGATACAACGCGGCGCAACGCTAGAGAACCCCCATGTATTGTCTTTCAGCTTTGCAACACAATTCTTTGAAAGTTTTGTATCCAKATTTCTATCAAATTTATATCTCCTGCTTTCATAACCTTATTGCACGCGGCTTAAGAAAGCTAGTCCAAGATCGYGCTCATAGCTGCCATCAGCTCTCTGCTGTGTTTCGAGTATTTTCTGCGGGTTATCGGCTTTCCTCGTTCCGAAAAAAAACGCTTGGCAACAATTTTGTTTAACTGCGATGACGAAAGGACAACGCTTTTGTCAACTGCAATTTATATCTTATTCCGTTTTTATTTGATATAACATTCTTGTTTTTTTTAAGTCAAATCTTTGCTTTGGATTAAAGATTTTAACTAAACATTGAGCAGAAACATTGCCACGAAAGTTGCTCGTACCTTTCGTTTATAAAATTATGCTATGTGTAAAGTCTGGTTTCCAATACTTGTGTGCATAAAATTGCCGTAATAATTCGATGGTAATATCCAATACATTTATCCACTGGATAAGATTTATCTATCGCATAGCGCTATCCACCCTCGTACAATCGGTTCCGGTTGTGGCAAGTCATGTAGTGAACGACTGCCTGGTTTAGATCGACAATGGTGAAGGTACATGTGGAGCTAGGTCGAGAAAAAAATAGAAACTGACAACATATATAATGCATATGCTTTCTTATTGCAATGGTTTTGATTTTTTCGCTGTGCCTTGGAGGTGACGGAATAACAATAAAATCTAAAGACGCCGAGATACAAAGCGAGACACAAGTATCTTTCTAATAAACTTATAAACCCGATTAAATATTAAATAAGTTTGAAAATTTCTTTTKAATTTGAAAGCCTTAGACGAAGGTGCATGGTTTTAGATTAGATTTTCTAGAAGGTACATTTAGCAACATCTAATTTCTACCAAACGAAATATTTAGTCAAAATGTGATTTTCCATTAGAATATGGAAAGCATTAAGAGCATTTTGTCYTTCGTGAAAAAGCATTGCCATTTAAAACAACTGCAAAAAGTCATTCAGGTTATTAAGGAAATTAAATATTAAATATTTTTGCAAGTTATGACATAATCTTTATTTAATTTGGTCAAATTAGGAATCGTATTTTAACTTCATAAGTTGGAAAACGACATTAGAAGAGTTTTCTATTAAATTAAAAAAAAAAATAAAATAAAAAAATAAAAAAAAAAAAATCGTGTATTGAGTGAAATTAGTTTTCAGTAAAAACGAAAACAATATTCGTATAAAGATCCTTTTTCTCTATTTGCTTCAGGGTCATGTTTTTCAAACTTTATTAATCTAGCCGCTGAGAAATGATCATTCATTGTTTGAAAAGCGAGACTTATGATGCGTTATTAAAAGTTGGAAATATTATTACTTTGCAACGAATTTCCACTAATGCACATTCTTCTTTTTCTAATAATTCTTTCTAATTATTATTATTAATTTCTTGTTTTTGTTTTCAGCAAACAAGTGCTTATTTAGTTTTTAGTCGAGTGTGAAAAGTTAATTAATCCGTCATCTTTGTCGCTGTTCCTTTTCTCACATTGAAACAACCTGCCAGAACAGGTGTTATTTTCAAATTCAACTTGAAGCCCCTACAGAATAAAGCTTGTTTCTTCCCCAGAAAAAAGCACAAGCATCGCGGAAGTAAACTCATGCAAGTTAAAAAAAATAAACACATGGGAAAATATTTTCAGAAGTGAGTAGTTCCTTAGACTTTTTAAAACAGTTTTGTGACAAATCTGTAAAAATCAATGGAATGGAAAAAGAGAGAGTACTTTGGGAAGGGTCATGATCCAATTGTTTTTTCATGTGATTTGGCATTTGTCATAGTTTAGCTGACCACAATAATACTTACAACAAGTATAGCTGTCAAAAAAGAATTACAAATACATGTCATCTCCTTAGTTCTAAGTTTTTTCCAGTCAAAACACAACAATTTCATTAATATTTTCAAGACTCATACAATTACCTACAGTATATTTAATTTATTTTCTTTTTTTTTTTCTTGGGCAATTAATTACGCACGCAAGGTTTCAATTTCTCTTGATAATCACTGATTTCTAATTGATATGTAGAGCTGAAACTTTTGGTTTAGTTGAAGATTTTATATATTTCCTTTATTTCAGTTGATCGTGAGTTGAAAGCCTTCCGGTCTTTTAAAACAAATTCCCAATTGAACTGACTAGAAGCATGCCCTGCTTTTGGGGACGCCGAGAAACAAAAACTCGCTTTTCTATACATGCGAAAGATGGCTATCCGGCCATACATGAGAAAGGTGGCTATTTACGTTTCTGAAGAAACGTGGGTTATATTTGTATTCAATCGTGGAGTTTTCTAACATCGTGACAGCCATTACCGGTGTGTACCATGATGTTTGTCAACGTCGGAAAAGCTGTGGATCTCATATCTAGCTAGGACTTTATTAATACTTTTGAAATTAATTTGCCCATTTGGAAAGCATGTTACTGAGCTGGCAAAATTATAGTTTGGCTGTCATGTCACTTCTTTTCAAATACTCGCTTAAAAGAAATGCTAATTTTACCTACGCCGCCTTCTTAAAACCCAAGGAGGAAGCACGTACTTTGATATCTGTTCAGTTCAAGATGGGCGCTCTTGAAATTGCCATAGGTATCTTGGGTGTATATCTCGTTTTTTGGGGTCATGAGAGCAACTTGATTCAAGGATCGAGAGACGTTGACATGGGAGTGAATGCTTGGAGTCAAGAAAATTTGAAAAAGTCTAAGTATAAAGAAGAAAATGATGGGACAGAAAAACAAATCAGGAAAGTTGGTCACTCGACATATGGAACCTTTTCGTTTGGGAGATTGAAAATTGGTTATGGAATAGAGCAGATAAGCAAAGAGCTTCAACCTGTTGGCAAGAATAGTCAAGAGAGTTTAAAGGCGGCACAAGGAATTATCAAAGCAAACAACCAAAAAATAACGATGTCACAAGTCAGAAAAACATCCAAAAACCTTGAGAAAATCCCTTTTCAAGACAAAGATGACATGTTTACGACCCAAGATTATTTAGGAATTGGGAGCATTAAAAGGAAAAGGGAGAAACGACATCTTCAGCAAGATAAAGAGGTAAACGTGAAGAATTTCACCCACACAAGTAGTTACAAAGAAACTCAATCGATATCTTCACAGAACTCGACCTGTCTTACCAATTGTACGGTTATTAGACAAGTCATTCATTATGGAAGAACAGAATGCCATTGCGAAGTTTGTTGTTTGAAGGCTTTTAAYGAATGCTGTGTGAAGCAAAACTTGTTTGGCTATGGCAACTATTCAATGCAAATCTCTCCAATGCGCTGTAATTGTTCTCAGAAATTGTCAAAACCATGGCCAAATCGCCCGAAAAATAAATTCGTTCGCTCAGAGTGTGTCAATAATTACTGGATGATAGCGAGTTGCCTTAGTTCTTGGCCTCAAGATGAGATTTTAAACAAATGCATAACTGGACCTGCTGGTTTTCCTAGCAAATCCACACTTAGAGTTTCTGTGCCCGTTTTCACGCCAGAAAGAAAAGTTTTTCGCAATCGCTACTGTGCATTGTGCAACAATGAAACTAGTTTTGAACCTTATAAAGTTGTCATTCAATGTGAAACGTCTCCTCCAGCAAGTTATAGTCCACAAAAGGCGATTGAATACCTGTTTTCACGCTGCAACGAGCCAAAATGGGAACCTCAAGAAAATCAGATATCCCAGCCATGTCCACGAATAAATTTATCTTGTTCAGAAGGTGAATTTGGTGTTAGGAAAGAAAACCATCCATCTAGGATACCCAATGACTTTAATGTGACTATAACTTCGAGTGACTCAAATTCTTATTATTCAAGATGCAAAGAAATAAAAACTGCTGACTGTTCCTTGAAGCCACGCCCTAATTTCAAAATTTCAGGCAATGGCCAGTTTCTAAACACCGTCTCGCTTTCTTTCACTTTAGACGTAATGAATGATGCTGAAAAACCGGTTCTAGTGAAAATCTCTTGTCCAACAAAGAAGCCTGTTTATGACCCATATTTGGAAGAATGTCGGCATGGCTTGATTCCTTCACCCAAAAACGCACCTTTTGACTCTTATCGAATCCGTTTATTCATCGAGAATTTTAGCGGCCTGACTGTACTACCGACCTTGGAAGATTTCAGAGCGTTTTTCGAAAAGGAATTTGGCTTTGGAGTAATCCAGCTAAGATATTTTACTCAGGGCTTCCAGTTTGACATACKAATTGGGAAACTATCAAATTACAGCGCCAAAAGCTACAAACTTAAGAATTATTTGAATTTCACAAATCAGTTTAACATCACTATTGATAACGTTCAACTAAGTGTCTACAAAGTGACGTACAGAATTCTAACTTGCGTCAACTTAGAATACTATGAAAAGCATGAGTATGCAATACTCCATGGATATATGCCAGCGGTTTATTTGAATAACTCACGTGAAATAATCGGTTACTTCAACTATTATTCTGGGAGTAACGATACGATTAGGGTATGTAGATTACGACTGAGTAACTGCTCAGGTGTATATACACCATTAGAGAAAGATGAGTATACGATGTTAAAAAATAACTCAATCACTGTTAAAGGGTCTGGAACAATTTACAATCAGCAGGAATATGACATTTATAATGGGACACTATGGATCTGTGTTGACTTTCCCAGGACTTTCAGCGCCTACCAAACGCCAAAAAARTCAAAGCCTCTTGCCTTCTCTGTACTTACATTCGTCTGCATGTCCTTGTCTATCATCGGCCTGGTGTTTGTCCTCGTGACTTATTCCTTGTTCAGTGAGCTACGAACACCACCAGGAATCAACCTGATGAACCTCAGTGTTTCTATTCTGCTGGCACAACTGTTGTGGTTACTTGGAAGTGGAMAGACAGACACACCCATGGCTTGTACTGTCATCGCGGTCATTYTACATTACCTCTTCCTTGTCTCTTTTGTGTGGACGTCAATCATCGCCTTTGACACTTGGAGGGCTTTCTCTGCAAAAGGAAGAAGACCATTGGCTGATTCAAGGTCTCAAAGAATGAAGCACTGCTTACGTCACATGACAGTAGGATGGCTTTCGGTCGTAATGTATGTCGCAATATGCGCTGGCCTAGACAATTTGGACATTATCAAGATAGGATATGGGTCCGATGTCAGTTGCTTCATCACTGGCACCAAAGCCAAGTTATACTTTTTCATGGTTCCTGTTATTGTCTTCATCACGTTCAACTTTGTCTTCTTTGTCATGACAGTAAAAGCCATCAAGGAAACACGCAACCAAACAAAACTCATTGGCCATCAGCTAGTCAAGAAGCATGAATTCCGAATTTACGTTCGYATCGGATCACTGATGGGCTTCACGTGGATCTTTGGATTTGTTGCTCCGTTTGGCTGGCAGTTCTTGTGGTACCCTTTCGTCATTCTGAACAGTCTGCAGGGTGTGTACATTGCCTTGGCTTTTGGGTTCGGTAAATATGCGAGGAAATTGTATCTGGACTGGTATCATGGTAATCGAAGAGGAATCCGGAGTCGACAGTCCACTAGCCGAAGTGGGAGAAGAGAGCGAAGCACTAAGGAATCGCTGATTTGAGTAATGAGTACAAAGCCARCGGGCAGAGACTTGGGTAGACAGTGGTCGCATTACCGTGCAAACAGAACTTATAGCTTATATAGAGAAAAATATTCTGCTATTGTTTGAGTTCACTGAGATAATTTTGAATAAATTATTAAGTGCCAATATTCCAAAAGCCGATTCTTACCCAAAGGAGCTCAGGCAAAGTATATTAGC